CTGATTGCTGATTGCTGATTGCTGATTGCTGATTGCTGATTGCTGATTGCTATTTGCTGATGCCCTGTCTGCTCGGTGATATTCTTTCGCGGCCGTTCATTTGCCAGGTGTTCAGCATCACCAGCAAGCTAGCTCTAGCAAAGCCGCATATGACGCCATCATCTCGGCCGACTTTGCGTTCGTGGTTACAGTCCCCCCCTCTGTCTCCGCACACACGTCGCAACCGTTCTTCCTGACACACTTTGATGAGTCCTGAGCGAAGCGAATACGCACTCAAAGATACGAGTCCCGAAAAAGGCAGAAAGAAGGATCAGATGAAATCAGACTGCGCAGACCAGAGGTTCGCTAGCAGTCACGAGTCGTCAGTATTTCAGTCGCTGTCTCGCGGCGACATTGTTGTCCAGACAACGACTCGACTCGCCTTTGACCACGAGTGTCGCGCCCATCTCGGCCTCAAAGCTGTCGCCTTTACGTATACGCATTCGTCTGTTCCGAGAATCCTGATCAGCTACAGCTCCTCGAATGCATCCGTGGCTTTTTTCGGAGGCACGACCTCCTCGCGACCGTTGCAAAGGCGCTGCTTCCTCAAACAACACAAAAGCTGGCCTCACAACGCTCGAGGCCGTGCAATGGCGCCTGGACCGACTCAACTCTGGACGAGCTGCTGAGAGTACGGGCGATGTTCGATGCACATGTCTTGAGCTAGCATTCAGACGGCTAGCTGCGCCGACGGCCTAAGCTGCCCAAGTCTCGAGGAGTCTCAATTATCGCGTAACCGGCTTCTGTCTCGAGTGGACTCGACGTAGCATCTCGACGCGCATCTCCACCTCTCTGTACATTGTCATCCGCACTCACGTCGCCAAGCAGCTCGCGAGACCTTTCCCCCCCCACTCCGCAATTGCGGCCATCGTGGACCAGCGATGTGTGATGGCATTTGGTTAAACGGACCCGGCGCATGTATATACAATGATTGTCTTTCTCCATAGACTTCGGTCGGCCGACTACGACGTTTGCGATGCTTTTCTTTGCTGCGTAGCAATCAGACCAGACCATCATACAAGCTACAAAAGGCATCGAAGGGTCAGTCAAAGCTCCTTTGAGAGTGAAAGTACCGGCTCGGCTCACCTCAATGCTTGGATGATGGTCGGATCGGATTTGGAGCCTTCTTTGAATTCTTCAAATGTCACTATGTCAAGGAAGGCCAAGTGAGCAAGCGGGTCGACCTGTCATTCGCTCCCAGACTTCCAGCAACGACTCACACTGCGCATTCTTGTCTCGGTCCATCATACGGAAGATTTTGTCGACGCGCTGTTGAGCAGTATTTGATGGAGGCGAGCTTAGTACGGCAAAGCCCGCATCAAGTCGTTCCCCGACTCACTTTCTCCGGCGTGTCCTCATCCTCAGGCAGCTTGACCATCTGACCGGTCATCTTGTAGATACTCCTCACAATAGCTGCGTATGTGAAGAGAGAGAGAGATCAGTCATCGTACAGCGCAACTCAAAGAGCTTTCGGTCTTCCTTTTGAGGAGACCGAGCGACGCGCAATCGGCTGCAGAGCAAAGGCGCAGGCCTGCAAAGAGGTCGTCGTTCTCTACCAGCCCATGAAGGCTGGCAGCTTGTGCACAAGCAAACAATCAGTGATGCTGCCCACCTCTTACTCACTCAGCATTTCATCGTAGCTGAGGCAGAAGAGGTCGGCACGAAGAGCCGGGGAATCAGCCGCTGCTTCGTATGCCAGGCTGGCTGGCAAGCTCGAGCGCTCACGTGATTGTGCCATCACCATCGATGTCATACAACTGGAAAGCCCACCTCAGCTTCTCGTCCAGCCTGCCTCGGGAAGTGACAGACAGTGCACAGATGACTTTGGAGCGCCAAGGCAAAGCGGATGATTAAAGCGGCACCGAGAGCAAAGACAAAGGCTGCCAGACTTGAGCTCACACTCTTTAAAGTCGATTGTGCCGTTTCCATTCTCGTCAAAGACGTTGAAGACGAATTCGGCGAATGTCGAGGGGTCACCGAACGCAAAGAATGATCTGCGCGCGATACAGTGGCAGAGTGGGTAAGTAACGAGCGAGCTCTGCTTGAGAAAGACGAGAGCGAGCAAGCGTCCGCCAGGACATTCGAGCAGCGTCCGGCTCGCAGCGGCCCTCTGCGCAAGGCCCAATGACGCCCGAACAGCTGCATCCACCATCTTCATGAAGGCTGTGGCGCAATGTAAGCAGATGTGTGTCCTCGTGTCCTGCGCTATGCGACACTTCCACCTCCATGCGTTGCGTCAAAAATGCGCTGCTTGTGGGCCTCGACTCCAATACACTTTTCACTGAATGCGCGACGCACTTGTACACTTTGATGAACTCCTGCTTGTCCAGCACGCCAGATGGGCAATCCTTCAAGAAGCCCTTGTACCTATTGACGTGCGAGTGATCAGATCAGGTCAGAGTTGGGGCCTAGCTCGACATGAGTCGATTTAGCATCTGCAAGGGACGCACCATTGCTGAAGCTCTTTGCGGTCGACTGCGGAGGGTAATGAAGCGCATAGCGTGAGCTTGTATTCCTCGATTAGGGATCACTTCGCCATTTGATTGCCCCGAGCATCCGACCAGCTGTGCGTAGCGTGATCCCGCGCTCGTCTCACGCCCAGCGACTTTCATATCTCTGACAGCAGACCAGCTGCGAGCAGACTTGGACCACTCGCACTCTTCCCGTCGACCTGCTCATCTGGATACGCACAGTAAGTGCTCTTTTGCAAGTCGGCCAGTTGTTCCGGGGTGAGCTTAGACTGGTTCTTTCCCATGTTGACAAAGTGCTCAGAAGGAGAGGAGTGGATGAGCTCGTGATTGAGAATGTGTGAGGGAACGTAATGTCTCGATGGGACGAAAAGGGTCGAGTGTCATAGAGCCTCGAGTGGGACGGATGGAGGATCAAAGTCACTTTGACTCGTCGCACCTTGGACCTGTCCAAGCTCAACAAAGTGCGTTCCCGCTCGCCGCAACCCCTCGATGTGTGCATGCGTGCGCCTCGCGATAAACTCAACACTCACGACTCACGACTCACGACTTACGACTCACGACTGGCTAGATGCGAGCCGCATGCGCATGCGTGGCGCTTGCACCGCCTTCTGCTCGAGGTGATGCTGATGATGCGCACGCTGCGCGCGATCGCGTGTGCGACTTGCCGCCGTCGCCTCCACGGCCGCCGCCGCCGCCGCTGCTGGCTGGCTGCATCCGCTGTGGAGGTCCTCCTGTCCCGTGCTTTGGATCGAATCAAATGACATTTTGATTTTCACTTTGACTCTGACTCGTGACTACAGAGTTAAAATTGACATTCACTCTTGACTTGATTCAAGATTCTGATTGGTAATACGCGTGCGTTGTAACACTCACGACTCACGACCCGCGTGAATCTCGAGTCACTATTCAATGTGTATGACTGACTGCTGTTCCAGTAAGGCACACCAACTAAGACAATCTTGAATATGCCGCTGCGAGCATGCCGGACCTCGCAGAAGCAGCTCATCGGCGTAGGCTCGCGTACCGGCACATGCACGCCAACCATGGTCCACGAGTAGCAGCTGGGATACAACAGCCCTTGACTCACCCTGCATCGATCACGATCATCGTCGAGAGCGTTGCACACGCTGGACCTTGCTCGCTCCAGCAAATAGGAGTCAGGAGTAGGAGTCCGATTTGAATCTCATTCAGATTCTTGATCATTATTTAGACATTGCGCTCAACTCAGCTCGGCCCTCTCAGCTTCAGGCGGGGCCTTAGCATTCACGATTCACTGCGTGCATGCATGGCCGTAGGTTACCTATGTAGTGCGGGCAGTCAGTACGCGAGAGAGTCGTTTGGTGCCTCTGGCGAGTGGTACAGTCACGAGTCTTTCGAGTCAGTCTCAAGCAGCTCATCTGGAGGCGAGTGTACAGTACACATGCGGTCGCTGCATGCCAAGAGCTTTCGTATGCCAGATGCAACGTTATCCTGTCACGCTCACCCAATCGAGGCCGCGCTTAGCTCGCTCGTGCAGCAGTCAGCATCAACAACCTCTGTCTCGCTCTCGCCCCTCGACGACGGCTTGGCACGAAACCCATCCGCAGCAATGTGACTGCATGACTCATAACGACTCACGACTTGACTTGTTCCGAGCAGCTGGAGGCTGTGCAGACAGCAGGTCCAACCCAGTCAATTCAAAGTGGTGCCGAATGGTGTCACGTACGACTGTCGAGAAGCGAAGAGGCATGCCTGCCTGATTGGGAAGCCATAATTGTGCTTTGATGGCATCAACATGGCCTCGCCGGAGAGGCACTGGTTGCGCTGTGTGGCAGCCAAGCCTGACCGATGCGGAACCGATGGCTGAGGCTTCGTTCATCTTTCGCTTGCGAGAAGAAAGGCAGCGACTTTTGCTTCCTATGCGCGACCAGCGAAGCTATACCCGCTCGTGTGTACCAGTGTCGGTGTAGCGACGAGGCAATTTGCAGCCAACTTGACGCTGCCCACCTCGAGGGTCATCACACGCGCGTACCGCTCCGGTCTTGCAAGGTGCTGGGGTACAAGTCGGACTGCTCAGCCGAGTAGCTACGCACCTGAAGGAGCTAGTCTCTTACCCACGCTCCTTGACGGCCTGCATGCTGGCACCCCCAACTTCCACCGAGTTGTGGGTGTCGACTCAAAGCCTGTCCTGCGCGAATTGAGAGGAAAGCAGGAGCATCAACAATCAACGCGTCACGCTGGTTGGACCTCTCAACGCTTGCGATCACGACGGCGGCTGCATCAGAAGGCG